TCAGCCTCGGCGACTTCTTTTCGTCGTTGAGCCTCTTCATTTCCAGCTTCTCTGGAAAATTTTCAGGTAGAATTCATACGTTTAAAATCAGATACTGCACAATGACCGTAGTTTGAAAGTGACATAGGAGTAGTGATACCCACCTGATGCAATCCTCAATCACATTTGGCCAGAAATCTCCTTCAAAGTACGGTAGGCTCATCGGCGTTGTCAAATTGTCGTCACGGGCCTAAAACACACTTTTTCTTATAAGTTTCAGCTTGACAACGATGTGAATCTCTAGGTAATTTGCGATATACCTGCTTATAGATATCCTTGAATTCAACCACTGTCTTTTCAGCTACACCCTTTTCTAACATCTTTTTGTACCAATCCTGGAAGAGAACTCATTGAATAAGCTCCTTTAAATTTACATCAAGTCCACTAAGAGTTCTTACCTGCAGCCTTTTCGGTTTTGGGATCTTCTGCTCAGGGGGATGGCAGTGGAAGATGTAGTCATCACCTTCAGATGGTGGACATGCCCAGATGTGCGCCATGGTGTAGCCGAGCCGCTTGACATAACTAAATCAAAATGATGACTTTGCAACGAAGAAAACTTCTTCAGTTAAGCTTCCTCAATAGCACTTACTCAAGATATCCAAGAAGAATCTCATGATAAACCTCTGTTCTGAGTTCCCTAGGTTGGAAGAAGTGTACTGAGTCTAGATAGGCGATATAAACCCGCCTAAAATCACATGACCTTTGTGGAGCCTTTCTAAACCGCACTACCACCTCAAAGAACTGACCGCGCATTAGGCTCCTTGCAATTGCTACCGTATTCTTGGACATGGAGACCGAAGAAGCACACTTCCACTCCATCAATGATTTCAAAAGCAAATACAGCCTTTGTTCGATAGGGGAACTTATCAGGAAATCCTTGCGGACCATATCTAGAATAATCATAAGCTTTTTCCTTTTTTTTCTAATATGCTTGACTGTTGAAAATAAGAACTAGAAAACTCACTTAGTTTTCATCAGAGGCTTCACTTCAACTTCTTTGTCCTGCACACACAAAGTTCGAATGATCACCTCATATTGATTAGGATTATTGGGCAATGCACTTTTTAGGAAGGTGTTCACACGATCTTCCAAAAACTGCGATAACTTGTTATGCGGCAATCGTTTCGCCATGAATCGGTTCTCCGGTTTCGGATAGCTTTTCTCCTTACGACATGTGTCACAGATAAAGCCCTCCGGGAATACCTGTAACAAACAGCTCAAAATTTGAAATTAGCTTCAATTTGTCGATATTTACAAATGAAGAACAACTGAACAGACTTGAGCATGAGTTTGAAAGGACAAAAGGGAAAAGTATAAAAGGGTGGGAAATAGATAAATGTTACAAGAAAAATCAAATGTAGTCAAGATTCCAAGTGTTCTGTAATTCTAACCGAACAAACATTTAAGCAATTACCTCCACAATTAACTAAGTAAAAGACAGAAATTCTGTAACTTCAAGTCAGCACAGGAAGCAGATGTTTTAGAAAAACATAGATATTCAGCATCCTTAATATATATTGGGCTTTCACGCGATCGACCCCCCAACAAACTTCGTTTTTTCATGACAAAGCAGAAGAGAATTTCGGTAAAATGTAACAGTGCTATCCTATGGGATAAACTTATCACTTATTCTTGATACAGTTAAAATGCTGAATTAATCTATTCCAGGGGAGGGAAAACATATGTCAGAAAAAGCAACATTGGAACTTACAGAAGACCAATGACATGCCTACAAACTAATATTTTTTGATGAGTCAATTGAAGAAGATGTTTGAAAAAGTTAGGAACGAAAGGATATGAGAACAGAAGAATTGCTCACCTTCTTGTCGTACAATGCGCATATCCTATGCCACTTTCGATGGCAATACTTGCATACTTCAAATGGTTCATAGTCGATCACATTGTTTTTCATTTGCACAAATTTGTCTTTCGGTGCCATGTTCGACTGATCATTTGGATTTTCTGACAGCGATATGCCTTCTGGCGGTAGTGCATCGAAACACTTGAGACAGTATGTATATCGTTCCGATACGGTGACTCCGTATTGTGACGACGTCTGCTCATATCTTAAGTTTATGGATATTACAACGGGTATATGGTGACAACAACATTTTCAGCAGTGCACTTACACCCAATATGGCTGATCTCTCGCGATAGTACACATCGATGCACCGTAGCAGAACAACGCTAATGGTGTAAAAGACAACTTCCGTGAACAACAATAACCCATTTGTTGCATAACTTGATCCATTTCGGCCACAAACATTTCACTGAGCTGAAACAACAACAGATATACATCGATCTGTAATAAAGCGCAAATGTTCCCGTACCTTAGTGCAATATTTGTACACCTTGCTATTCTTTCTATTGTACATCCAAGCGTTATCGAACATTAACCACATATCATCGCAGAACTCCCATGGATTTTTGTAACGACCGCTGTCCAATTTCCCACAAATCGTTGACAAGTCCATAGGATGTTTCACAATGTCATTGTAATCCTGCAAACATCACTTGTAGTAGGGCTCACAAATTATTTGAGATTTTTTAGCAAATCAAAAAACAGATTTGATCTTTCTAAACAAAC